CCACCTGTAGTTTCCTTTAATTACGGGTCTTTTTTGCCAGGCTCAGTTCATGAAGCGGCAGCAGGACGCCTTGGCCTTCTGACCTCCCACAGTGCGACATTGTAGGGACCCCTAAACCCCGAAACCCCTAAACCACGAAACCCTGACCCTAAACCCTAAACCCTACCTAAACCCCTAAACCCCTAAACCCGAGATTGTAGGGACCTGAAGACGGACTAAGGGGCTGAGTCAGCAAACGGTTTCGGGCTTAGTAAGGGTTTGGGGTGGAGGGTTTTACCCCTTTGGGGCTGATAAACAGAGGGCTCTGCAGTAACCCTGCTGTAATTTTCTGAGGTAAACTTGTCCCCCTCTAAGAGGAGTAAGAATTTCCTTCTTCGTGGTCCTTATAGCAATTGAGGTGGGCATTCCCTACACCCACATTCTGACCTGACACGGAAGACACCAGTTCGAGCTCTGTAAAATAGTAGGGCCCAGATCAAGGCACTTGCAGCAATGCAAGAGCCAGGGAATTCGTATCAATGAATGCTGCAGATGACCCCCTGAACACCAAAAGCAAAATCTTAGCCCCAAATCCGAAAGGCAGGGGGCAAGAACAGCCGAAAGCCTGCACCCCAAACCCTGAAACTTGCACCCCTTTTGTCCGACGCTCACTCCCACTTGTCACTTACTAGTTTGCTCCTTCGTAGCAGGATAGGTTCAGAACCCTAAGCCCTGTAAGCCCTATAAGCCATATAAACCCTAGGAGTATCGGATCTGGGGCTCATGGCATTCACCATGACAGGTCATCAAGTGAGTATGCTAGGACATTCTTACCTTGAGGGGTGCACTCCGCTCGGATGCTGAAGCGTTTTGTTTTCTTGTGCAGCATCGTGGCCCTTAAGCGCGTCAGTCTGGGCACGCACATCCGAGCTCAGAGCAGACACGCACCACACTAAGTGCCACCCTTCATTCTGAATGCAACTTTAACTGTGACTGCAGTCAATAAATTGCGATTCGTCCCAAAAAGTGCAAATCCATATAAGTCATGTCTGTGTACAACAGCGAAGTTAGATTTGCCGAAGCATGTGGCAGGGCTTGCGTGCGGCAGCTGTTGTAGCTGCCGCTGCAGTTCTGGCAGTCTTCGTTTTTCATCTCATATGGCCTGAAGAGGGCTTGGCCCCGCAGCCGGAAGCTCAAGACGATCCGAACACGAGCTCTCAAAAACCTCGGAAAGGAAAAGGCGCGGCTGGAAGTTCCTACCCGCGGCTTGAAGCCGAAGAGCACGCACCGGGCGCCCGAGTCTGGACGACCGACGATCTTGCGCTGCACGACGGTGAGAACCAGAGCAAGCCACTACTCCTGGCCATCCTGGGAGAAGTCTACGACGTGGGTCCTGGCTCCAGGTTCTACGCTCCTGGACAGGGGTACCTTAAGCTGCCACAACCTCCATTTTTGTTGGCAGGCTCTTGTTCCAAACCTCAACTTAGGGACCCTACTAAAAACTACCTGTAGTCTCCATTGTTTTTCCTTTTTGGGGATACCTTATAAAATCCTTAATATATAATTTACTTGGTTTAACTTAAAAAAAAAGGAACTACAATGGAGACTATAGGTAGGTCTCGGGCTTGGTAGTTCAAGGTATTCCGGGATGGCTGGGAAGGATGCCAGCAGAGCCATGAGCAGCGGTAACTTCAAGCAAGATGCCACTCCGAGCTTACATGGGCTCCTCAGGTGGTGCCCAGAAGTACCCTTTTCACTCCTTTTCAGCTTCTGGAGCCCTACTTTTTAAACCCTGCTACGAATCCTAATGCCCTTTGTGTAGAATCCGTGCTCTGTAAACCGAGGTTTTCGAAGGAGCAAGTTGCGGATGTCATGCAGTGGCGGTCCTTCTACCGCAATCACGAGCAGTATCGCTTTGTGGGCTTCCTTCAAGGCTCATACCTGTGCCCTCCACCCCTCAACCTTCCCTGGCTGACCCAACGAATCCTAAAGCCCTCAGGCCCTAGACCCTAAACTTTCCTAAACCCTATAAGCCCTAAACCTCTAAACCCCGAAACCCTAATCTTAAACCCTAAGCCCAACTCCTAAGCCCTTCGCCACGAAACCCCGAAACCCGAACCCCCGGATCCTAAAGCCCTGCGCCCTTAAACGAGAAACTCCTAGGCGCCTACACTTGAAAGGAATCAGATGAGTATATATTTATATGTATACATACATGTATGTATATGAAGAAGTATTTGTATGTGTACATAGAGAGAGAGAGAGAGAAATCAACAAAAGATGGGGATGTAGGAACCCTTACGACGAAACTTGTGTAAAGCCCCAAGCCCTAAATCCAGGGGCTTGCACCTGTTTCAGGGAACCCTTACACGACTCCTCCTGGAGCTCTATCTCTACATCCTAAACCCTAAACCCTAAACCCTTAAAAACAATTAGGGTTTAGGGTTACATCCTAGACCCTCAACCCTAAACCCTTAAAGCAATTAGGGTTTAGGGTAAAAAAAATTAGGGTTTAGGGTAAAAAAAAATTAGGGTTTAGGGTTTAGGGGTTTTTGGCCTCAGGCGTGTACTACTCGGAGGAGGGAACTGCGACACCGACCCTTCAGAATCTCGAGGAGGCCCAGTCCCTCGTCGAGAAGGCGACGAAGGCGGAGACTCCAAAAGCCCGAACCTGGAGTAAGTTTTCTGTGCATTTGGTGAGATCCTTTAGGGTTTAGGGGTTTAGGGTTTAGGATCTTTTAGGGTTTAGGGGTTAGGGGTTTAGGACTATGAGTTTTCTCTAGAAAAGGCCTTAAAACATATGACGGAGCCCCACTACAATTTGAGGTAGGTTCCTCGATTGAGGAAGCGCAATCCCCTGCGAAGGCCATGACCGCGGCGAGAGAGCGCTTCAAGGCTTGTACCTTTGGCTCCAAGTCAGCGTTTGCCTCTGTGTGTGTGTGTGTGTGTCATTTTGTTTTTGGTGAAAGGGGGTGGGGAGGTTCGCACAGGGGTGATATCGGACTTAGGGGGCGAGGGTATTATCAGGGGTTGCATGGAGATCGGAAGTATTAGTAATGCTGTTCCGGAGGGTTCCTTGTTTTTGAGACTCGTATTTGCGCAGGTCAAGAGTATCAGGGAGCTTGCAAGAAGCGGCCTGACTCTCTTCTATGAATGAGCTTAGGAGCACAAGCGTATCATGCATGTAGGCATCTAGATTACCTTTATCTTGTGTTTTGGGCCGAGTGTACAGCAAGGGCTTTGTGTTTAGGATGTTCGGTTACCTCGGGCTCCAACTACTAGGACCTAGTTACTAGGAGGTTCTGCCCTATGATGAATGCACCATAAAACCTACAATTTTGTCGTGGGGCGTGGGGCTGCAGGTAACTCCAAGACGAACCAGGGGGATCCTTACATGGAGCTTTGGTGTGATCCTGGGTATCACGGAGACGGGACAGAGCCGGTTTATCTAACGGCCTACATTGCCGAGTCGAAGAAGCAAGAGTCTTGGTGCGCCTGCGCGTCTCCATCTGCACGAGAGGGGACGGCGAAGACAGCAGACACCGGGATGACCTTCAAATTCACAGACTATCCAGAGTCTAGGTGGCAATTTGGTACAACTTTGTTACTTTCCCTTTTGGCACTGGGTGGTTTTAGTAAAGCAGCGCTTCATGAATCTACAGGGCGACCCTTAAAAACAGCCGTAGCCCGGCAAACCCGAAACCTCACGACCATTGAAGACCCCAAAACCTTCTTCATTAAGGATTGACATGAATCACTTTATCGACATCCCTGCACTCTAAGGTGTGTCCCGCAGAAAATCTGCATGAAAACCGCTAAAGCCCTGTAAGACCCTACCAAGGTATATTTTCCTTAGTTAGTGGCTTCTGAAGTCTCCACGAACTGTATTGAGGACTAGTTGTTACTATCAGCCTAAACCGAAAGCCTAAGCCCTAACCGCGAGACCTCGTTTGGCGGAGTCTCACAATTAATAAAGAAAGGAACTGTATGGGAATCCAGGAGTGCAAAGGCAAGTCTCACCCTAAGCCCCAAATCCGAAAGCCTGAACCCAAAATCTGAAACCTTGAACCGTAAATCCGAAACCCTGAACCTTCAATCCGAAACCCTGCACCTTCAATCCAAAACCCTGAACCCTAAATCCGAAACCCTGAACCCTAAATCCGAAACCCTGAACCCGAAATTCGAAATCCTAAACCCCAAACTCCTAGAACCCAGGAGTGCAAAGGCAAGTCTCGGTGCCAACGGCCCAAGACCGCGGGTCCTCCAACCGCGCAGCCTGGGAAGTAAAAACCCGCGGGCTTGGGTTCGGTGAAACGACCCCCTAATGGGTTTAGGGTTTAGGGTTTAGGGTTTATTTAGGGCTTCCTTTTAAGGGCTCCTTTAAGGGTTCCTTGCATTTTAAGGCTTCCTTCTAAGGGCTCCTTTCTGTTAAGGCTTCCTTTTAAGGGCTCCTTTCATGTAAGGCTTCCTTTTCCGGGCCCCTTTTTTTTTGGCGTCCTAATGGCTCCGTTAAGGGTGCCTTGTTGAAGGGCCTCCTTTAATTTAAGGCTTCCTGTAACGGCTCCCTTATAAAGGGCTCCTTGAAGGCTTCCTGGTTTCCCCTATAGTTAGTGGGCCCTACTGGTATGAGGGATCATTCAAGTGCCTTGAAAGGTTTTGAAAGAACGCAGCTTTTAGGGATCCAAGAGGGTCCCTATATGTATATGTATATATATATATATATCTCTCTCTATCTATAGAGAGAGTGAGCTTTAGAAGGTTTAGGGCTGAGAAGGCTCTAGAGTTTAATCAGGTTTTCGAGTGCTTTTGTCGGGTTTTGGGCCTGTAAGGCCCAGCCCGGTCGGATTTACTTAGCAAGTGTATCCTGGCCATTATAATTATAAATAAATGAATAAATAAATAAATATATATATATATACATACACATATCTATCTTTAAACCCAAAAAACATCATTGAATCCGAAACTCCGGTCAACATGGGACTGTGCGAGAACCTTCAGCCCCTAAGCCTTCAACAGACCCCGACAACCTCCCTGACCCTGAAACCGCTTAAGACTAAAAAACCCAAACCCGAAACCCTAAATGGCATCGCAGAGCCCTACAGCACCGGATCTCCTTCTTCCTGGTCTCCTGAATATAGGGGCCTGAATTTCAAATAGGTACCAAGACTATTTTGGGCCAAAAACCCAATTCTAATTCTTATATAAGGCCCCTACATTACTTGCTCAAACCCTCCACATCCATGGTCTGGAGGACTCCTTGGCTGAGCGGTTGCGGAATTCCGGATTCGTTGCGGTGTCTCGGCCTGGGCAGTTGGGGCTCAGGGGCTTCAGGGTCTAGGGATCGTGGGTTTTGCGCTGGTTTGGGGTTGGGGATTTAAGACTTGGGGTTTAGGGTTCTTGATGTTTTGATATAATGATGCCGAGTGAATTTGTAGTTCACAGGAGCAGAAATACACCACTCGCAGCCTGTGCAGCCCACCGTAGATGATACAAGCCACTACCACCGAAGCCGTGTTTGCATACACCCTGTTGGCGCAAGACCCCGAAGTATGGAGGCCTGCATGACTACTACAACCCCCCTTTTGATTCAAGTCCGCGCTGATGTGTATGCAGCAAAATGCTCGCAATCCCATGCCAATTATTCCGGTGCCCCGAACTCCTGGGCCCTTATAGAATCCTTATAGGATCCCTTAAAAGAGCCTATACTCCTTAACTGCGTTCCACCCACTTGAAAGGAGCCACCCGCCTCGACGAGCAGTTCTTTGCCACTGCCGCTGGGGTGCCGAAAACCACCAAACACGGTTTAGCGTTCTAGGGTTTAGGGTTGGCCGTAAATCCCGAACTAATGCCTGCAACCCTACACTCTGGCGACTCAGTCTTAACAGACTTAATGTGGTTCAGTTAATGTGCGTGTACATACCTACACATGCATACATCATGCAGTTGCAGGTGCAAGCTTATAAGCTTTAAGAAACACACTCACACAGCAATGCATGCACAATCGCGTGTGTATCTTCATATATATATATATATACACACACACACACTCACCGCTACTGTACAAGTAGAGAATGGCATCTGCCACGAAGCTTAGAGCAATGAGGCCATCCAGCACAACAGTGATAGTTGCCCTTGTGACCGCTTTGGGATGGAGTCTTCCTTCTGCTATCTAATATAGGGGCCTCAATAATTAGAATAGGACATATTATATTGTAATTATAGCAAGGAACCCCTAAAACCCTATTCTAACTATTAAGGCCCCTATTATACATTAAGGATTGCTACGGAACCTTGGCAATACGGCTTTCAGGAGGTTTAACGACCCCCTGCTGCGGGTTATCCTTAAGCCCCAAGGTAAGGTTCTAGCGGTGGTTTCAGCTTGACGTACCAATGTTCGATATAACAAGGGTGTTGGCGCATTGGGCGAAGGGTTCCGTGCTGCAGGGTTTAGCGGTTGACTTTGCACCGTTACGGCGAGCCTCAAGGGCAGTCAGATCATCTTGAGATCATATGTGTCCGCCAGTTTGGGTGCCCTTTGCAACGCCGCCGTTGCCACATACTTGCTCTTTAAGAGTGCGACGGAGCACGTGGCATGCGCATGCCACTTCGCTGATGCGACTGTGCCGAAACATGGGATGCGTTGAGCACGACACATTTACTGCAACAAGAACGGAGTGAACTCATAAATTGTATATATATATATATATATGCATGTATATGAGTGTACATGTAACTTGGCAGGCATATACCGCATGTCCTGACCGACCCATGTCTACGAGTCTAAGGGTCTAATTTCAGGTTCCCGAGCCGCCGAAGTCTAAACAAAGCCCTTAGAGCCCTGAAGCTTTTTCATGGCAGCAGGTACCCGGCGCCAAAGAGCGAAGATACCGAGCAACGCCTGGAATCTGAACCGCGAGGGGCTTGGCGTAGATCCAGGTGAGTGTTGCCGCACAGATCCCTCTTTGTGTCCTTAGCGCTTTCTTGTGGACGCCAGCCCAAAATAGCAATCCCTAGTAACTCCTAACAAGTCGTAATTAACGCCCCATACGCCCGAAACCCTAATACACACTTTTTTCGCGACCGTGGATTCTTGCACGATTGCCTAGCCAAGCCCTAGACCTGACATCCCAAGCTTCGAACCCTCAACCCAAATCTCTAACTTTTATGGGCCAAGCCCTGATGTGACCCGAAAACCTCATAGAACCCGTATGTTTAGGGAAGCGAGCAGATAACGTTAACTCCCAAGCCTGAAAAGCGTCGGCGAAAGTCGAGGACCTCGCCCAATCCAGCACCAGCAGGGACGCCGCCATGGCCCCGACAGGGTTAAGGTGCTAAATTGTCAAGTCCTTGCCCACCCTCGGCTCCCATATGGGAGTTTCCGAAAATAGGGGACCCTAATATAGTACCCTAAATAATCGGATCCTTACTACAAAGACCCCAAAATAAATTACCCCAATTTTCGGAAACCCCCATATGGTGAAGGTTCCAACAGCTCGCGAGTCTTTGATCTCGGTTTGGGAAGTTGCTGGGTGCTGGGTGGCTGGTTCCTGTGGCTTTGTGGTGGTTTAGGGTTTAGGATTTAGGGTTTAGGGTGACAGGACAGACCTGCATCCTAGGGTTTGGAGTTTAGGCACAGGGCTCAGGGTTGGAAGTTTTGAGGTTAGGGGCCGGGGGTTTATAGGGTTTAGAGTAACTGAAACGCCTACGGCAAACCAAGCAACCTTCAATCTCCCTGCAGTGTGACTTACATGGAAAACGCATCAAGACAACCCCCAAAACCCTAGACCTCGTATAGCCCGAGTTGCGAGTTTCTAAACCATCAAGCCCTGAACTTACACATGTGCAGCTCTACACCTTGAAACCCTAGTCCCTATGCCCTATAGTCTTTCAAAGAAGCTAGATCGCAGCCTTTACTCTCGAGTTTCGGTGGGGGAGTTTGAGTTGTGCCTTTACGAGGAGCGCAGCTTAAACGGTGCTCTCTTAGATCCTCACCATTTGCTGTTGCCATTTTGAGTTTGAGGCTTAGGTTCTAAATCCCTACTTGTGAGTATTGATAGTGTTGATCATGTCGCTTCGTTTAGCTTTGCATACTTGATGTGACTATGTTCGCTGCTACGTGCGCATGCACCACTTGAATTAGATTGGTTGCTAGTAACAGGTGCCGGTTGCTGATTCTGCTGCTGCTGTTGTTGTTCTTGGTGCGGCGGCTGCGGTGGTGGTGGTGGTGTGGGGTTGCTTCAGCTGTTGCTGTTCTGTATTGTCTTCCTGGTCCTTGCGGCCCCAACTCCGACTTTTCATGACGCCGTTCTCGCACAGTCTTTTTTTTTTCAAGAAGGGGAGGATCTTCCACGACATAGCAGACGCGGGTAGCTGCTGCTTGGAAGGAAGCCCGATTCGGATTGATTGTTTGCGCAGTTCATGGCGCTTCGTAACCCGGAGTCTGCAAGGTTACTGCTGTTGGACTTTCGGGGATAACATGACCCAGCCTGAAGCATGTGAGAGGGTTCTTGAAAACACGGGTTCCCCTGAGAGCAGGTCTGAATACTATACTACACTATAAAGATAAGAGTTCATTTTTGAGAAGCTTAAGCTTGAACATAACATGGGTTGAAACGTAAGTTTCTGATAAAGCTTAGATACGGCTCAGCCCATAGGGGACCACAACTAAGAGCAGTAGTCAGCGTACAGAACCCCCAAGCCCCCTAATGCTCACGTTTTGGAGGTCGTCAAGAAACTACTGAAAGCAACTCAGAAACCCATGTCGTACCCCCGTTGAGCACCTTTTCCCTACCCTTATAGGATCTAGCCTTATAGTAACCCTGATGATAGTAACCCCATGGTAGACACGAATGCGTCGAACGCCTGGCAACTTGCTGCTGTGGTGCATCACGCTTCTGACGCCAGCTGGGGCGGAATGGATTGCAGCACCCCTGCTCGGCACAGATAGGACTATAGACTGGGCAAGCCCTTGTGTAGGAACCTGACTGAAACAACACCTACTCGTAGTTCTTAGCCGGGGAATCCTTGTTGAGGCAGTTAGTGTACGTCCTACAAGCTGCAGTATTTCCATGTGTTTGGGACTGGTGGTTTTCTTGTCCAACAGACTCTGTCGAGTCTCTCGGCTTTTCAGCTTCGTTTGAGCCACAGAGAGGGTCATTAGATACACAGCCCAAGATCAGGAATTCGGGTTGTTGGTAGGTTTCGACTAAGACGTCCTTTCATTCTTGCTTTGCTTTGACGTGTGGATTTCTGGTGTTCAGGAATTTCCACGGCTTCGAGTCTGAAACGAGATGACCCCCACTACAGACGACTTACATCTCCATCTTGCAGTCGTTCATAGATGCGCCGCTAATATAGCGGCCTAAAAAACTACCTATACTATTTTGGGGGGATTCCTTATTATAACTATAGACTATAGTCTAGTATACCCCAGAACCACATTCTGATTATTAAGGGCCCTGCATTAGCTAAGTGGGCCCTCTGTCTCTGTATAGCTATGGTCTAATACCCTGTAGTTAGCCCCTATGGCCCATCCGAGGTCTGTTTGTTCGGCCGCGTGCGCGGGGCAAGGGTTGTCGGGGAAGCGCTGCGGCAGAACGCTACTCAGATGAGACCTTGGGTTTTTACCTAGGGCTTGTTGATTTTGGGGTCCTGACAGGGTTTGGGATGAAGGAGTTGAGGTATGTTGGAATTTTGATTTTGGAATTCGTCTGCCAAAACACGGAACTTGTGCAAAGAAGACAAGCAGTAGACAAATCTGTCGCACAAGTTTGTTTGCTCAAGGGGTCCTTAACTATCGGTGGCTCCATGCTTATACATTTAAGTGACGGTGGTGCCTCGGGCTCATCGTTCTTTATGAATTAGAGATGTTTGGGGTTCAGTGTTTGAGGCTTGCGGCATGCAAAGGATGGCAAAAAAGGGGGCTGAGCGAACTCTAGACTCTAGCATCTTGCCTGCTCGGAATATCTCATCAGCGCAGACTTGTTTGCCGGCTTCCACGTCTCGGTTTTGCTGTCATGGCTTGTCTGGCGTGAACGCATGCAGCCTTGGGCATAGAAGACAGCTGCAGGCAACTGCAAAGCACAGCAATGTCTTGCAGTGAGCAAACCGATGTGGAAGCTTCAGAAAATCCGGGATCTCCAAGACACTTACTCGTGGATCCGGCTTGCTAGGTCAATGCGACTGGGCATCTTCATCAAAAGCTCAAGGGTGAATATATACACACATATATATATATATACACATACTGAAATGAACGCCGACTTGGCAAGTTCAGAAGTACGCATGCACGCGGAAAGACCCTGGCCAAGAGCAAGACAGCAAGATTGCTTGGTATGCAGACGTTGTTGACTCCAATAGGGAGAGACTGCACATGCCCACTCGACGCCTGATCCACCTCGCAGTTAACCCAGAGGTCAGCAGAATCTCAGCAGAATCAGAAGGAACAATGTTCTAGTTCTCATCGCCCCCTCCTTCCGAACAATCGGGACTTTGGAGCTCTGCTACCGTGCATGATCGCTTCGCCACAGTTGCTGGACCCTTTGTGCGGCGGGAGCTGCGCAGCTGAGGCATTGGGGTCTGGAGGGTTGAGAGCTTTAGGGTTCAGGACTTAGTCTTGGTCCTTCCTGCTTAAACTCGCCCTTCCCTGCAAGACTGCAAGAGGCCTGGATGGAAAAGGCCTTGGTGCGTTTCATAAGGCTTCCATCCTCAGGGCCTCTCACTCCAGCCTTGTTCGGAATATCCCCCAGGTCTGAACGTATTGCTATGAGGGTTTAGGGTTTAGGGTTTAAGGTGTACGAGACTAATTCAAAATCTGTGTCCGCTCATGTGTGCTGGCATTCACCAAGTCCATTGCTTCAAAAAAGTGAAGTTATATGCTTGTCAAGGTTTCAAGTCCTGTTTGTTCCAGCATTGGGAATACCGGGTGACGGTTCAAGTTATGACAGCTGTACAAAGAGTGTTGATGATAGGTTGCAAACTGTAAGCCTTGGATGCTAAACACCAGAAGCATCCTTGTCTTCCGAGCTTGGCATGAGTTCAATATAGGGGCTTTAATAATTCTAATAGGGTTTGGGGTCCATTTTGCTATACAAAAAATAAGGAACCCCCCCCAAAATAATGTAGGTAATTATTAAGGCCCCTGCATTACCTCAGCAGAGCCAGGGCACAGGGTACCGTCGGGCTTGGTAGATCCACAGCAAACCGAAGCTCTCGGCGTGGCAGCTTCCAACCCCCTAAACCCTAAACCCTAAACCCTAGCCCTAAACCCCAAAAGTACTCGTAGCAAAAACAAGCACAACGGCAACAACGGTGGCTCGATCCTTGCCGCCTTGCCGGGCGTGTCCGAGCGTGAGTGTCAACAGCAATGGCGAGTCACTATCGAAGCCAGGGCTCGGGAGCCGGGCCCCTGTAACAGGGTTCCTGTAAAGGGTTCCTTCAAAGAGATACTATAAGGGTTACTATAGGGGCTCTATAACATAGAGGCCTTCATAATTGGAATAGGGATTTGGGGTATTTTATAAAATAGTTACAAGGAGCCTTCCAAACCCTATTCTAATTATTAAGGCCCCTACTTTAGCGGCCATCGTTTGATCCGAAACCCGGCTCCTAAACTTTCTGCATGCCTGTAAGCCCGGGTGCAGGATTTAGAGCTTTGGGTTTGCAGGGGTTTAGGGATTGAGGGTTCCCCTTAAACCGTGATACTGTGATGCACCAGAAGCAGTCTGGAGACTTTTACCATGTCATTGAGCCCTAAACTTGGTTCTCCAATACCCAACCTTTAAACTGTTTGGTTTCTTATAGGTTCGTAGTAATCTGAAAGTTATTTTCCTGGCTTATTGGGGACGTAACCAAACCCTAAACCTAATTGGTTGCTCCCCAGGCGCCGCAGCATCGTGTGGACGTCTACATCGCTGGGCCTGCCACCTCTGGATCGCTGCTGGGTAGCGGTTGATCACTTCCAACATCCCGCAAAAGAGCCCTGACCCAACATCAGACCAACAAAGCTTTCAACAGGGTTTAAGGTTTAGGGTTTAGGGTCAAGAAGCTTCAACCTTTTCGCCCGAAAAGAAGCCTTGTCAAACCCTCTAGATCCCGACAAAAAAGCCAGATAAAGATGCCGTGACATCGGAAGCCCAGATAAGCGAATTCCGAACTCAGTCAAAAAAAGCGACTCGCCGTCCAAAATACACTGAAATTGCTAAACCCTAAACCCAACAAAATCCCGATCCCAAGAATAATGAAGCTGTGCCCGTCTTGTGCGAGTGCGCGAGTCGTAACCCAATAAGGCCACTTCGGGGGACGGCCGATCTACTGGATGCCCAAGGATTTCCGTGGCTGGTGAAGGGGGTGCGGCCGCCTGTCTTCTTTGGCTATTGCTTTTCTTTGTTGGTGGATAGTTGTTGTTTTGTGTGTTGCGGGTCTTTGGGTGATTTTATGGTTGTTTTTGGGTGTGTCCTTGTCAAGCTTGTCTACCGTGATTTGATGTGTTCGTACATTATGGCACGACGCGGCGGGGGTGTTTAGGAAGCTTCAGACGTGCCGGTCTCGCCCAAAAAGAGAGAGGGGGCTGGCGTTGAAGTGCAGCGAGCTTACAGCTCCTGTAATTAGGCTGATCGCATGCCGTGTTGGGTAATGTTCCAAAGCCCTAAACTCCCCACACCCTAAACTCCCCAAGGGCCTTTGCTGAGACCTTCGGATTTATGTAATCCTGCAGTGTTAGCTCTTTTCTGGCTGCCGAGATCCCAACGCCTTACAGAGGGCTTCAGGGCTCGTTCGAATTTAGGGCTTGGTGCTGGAGTTCAGTCAAAGCTTCAGGGTCTAAGCTCATGAAGGGGGAAGATTAGCACGTCGGGGTTCTGGAAACGAAGCGTGATGATGAGTATATAGATTTATAGACTACCTAGGAAGAGAGAGAGAGAGAGAGAGAGAGAGAGAGAGCGAGAGAGAGAAAGAGGGAGAGAGAGAGAGAGAGAGAGCGGGAAAGAGAGAGACGAGGAGAGACAGAATTGAGAGAGAGAGAGAGAGATTGTGCGTGACCTAAAATTGATGCTGAGAGATCTCACAACTGTTCTTTCCCCTAAACCCTAAACCCTAAACCCTAAGAGAGATCTCACAACTGTTCTTTTTGTTCAATCACCGTTGTGGGATTCCGGGTCAGCGCTCGGACCCGTTGGAAACTGCAAGTTTTGGGGCTGTTCCGACCTTCTCAACCTAGAGCCAGCAATGCCAAAATTTAACCAGGATGTAATGTCACAGGAAAATAATACTTAGCGGAAAGTACCATAGCATACTAGAAGAATTCACCACACTGTACCTGGGCCAAGACCCGGGCAGCCGCAGCTGCAGAAGTCCATGGGGTGTGCTGTTGAAGCTTCCATCCTTGAGAAGACCTCCCAGATTCCTCCTCAATATTCTGCGTTGCTGTGCTGCTTGGGTTTCGGAGTTGTAAGCTCGCTGCTGAAAACTTTGGGTCCGTAAACTCGTAGGGTAAGGCTTAAGCTGTAGTGGATGGTGGAGGTGTTATTGGGGTTCGGAGGGTTCGGGTGTATGCTTCTCAATCCCCGAGCAGAAGCAGATCCTGGATTAAAGGAAGCTACAGGTGGGGAGNNTATAAGGCTTCCATAAGATATATAGACCTTCCATAAGATATATAGACCTTGCATAAGATATATAGACCTTCTATAAGATATATATATATATAGACCTTCTACAAGGCTCCCAAAAGCGGTAGCTACCCACCTGAAAATGTCCTAGAATGGAAGTCCCAGGTTCCAGGACGAGTCGCACATTCTGAGCTACCTGATCCTCGTCCGGCGAGCACAAGATCTGACATGTAAGACCCCAGAGACTCCCATATCCCTGAATTAAGGAAGATAACCTTAAATTATATGAGGAATCCCTGATATGATTTAAGGCATAGTCCTCAATTAAGGGATGTTGGAGTCTTTAGGACCTGTGTCGGACCTATGTCTTAGTCGTGTAGTGTAGGGGCTGCGACATACCCCTGCACGGCAACCCATCAAGAACCCATCAGCTGAAGCCCCACATCGTTCTTGAAGACGCAGGGTGTGAGGCCCCAAACCCCTACTTAATTGTCTTTGCTAGGCCCTAAACCCTAAACCCTAAATCCTGTTGAAATTAACATAGCACCCCATTGTCGCTCATATTTGGCTGTGTTTGGTATGGAGTCTTGGGCATAAAAAACCGAGGGGTCAGGGTTTCTCCCACAGTTTTATTGTAGAGGCCTCAATAATTACCTATATTGTTTAGGGCGGTTCCTTGTTATAACTATAGCAAAATATACCCCTGAAAACTCCAAAACCCTATTCTGATTATTAAGGCCCCTACATTAAGTGGGCCTTCCGTTTTCCGAGGGCCCTCTCAGGCCTTCCGAAGCTAGACAGCCCCCCGAAGGCCTCAGGCTTCCAGGGTTTATAGGATTTAAAGTGGTTTGAGGGTTTATGGCCGTTTAGGGTTTAGAGTTTTAAAGTTCATCTAGGGCTTGAGCAGTTGGCAACCATCGCCGTTATTCAGGAACACGCCGGAGAACATCGACAACTGGCACAAAACCTTGCTGATTCGTGGTGCCCCGGCTTCAACGTATTCTGGGACGGTCTCCTATTTTCCAGACCTCCCCATAGGTAAGTAACCCCAGACACAAATTTTAAGTTTTGGAAGGTTCGATATAAGATTATACATGCATTTTGTAAGATAGCAACAACAACAACAACACCTGCAAGATACTAGGATTGTATAGTCTAAACCCTAAACCCTTTAACCCCCTAAACCCTGTAAAACCCCTAAGTCCTGAAACCCTAAAACCCTAAACCCTTAAACACTAAACCCCTAAACCCTACGTAAACCCCTAAACCCATGAACCCTACACCCTTAAAGCCCTGTGCAGAGAGTTTTATGGTTGCCTGCGGTCGGCCCTTGCAGTCGAGCCCTGGAAACAGCCCGGATTTAGGGTTTAGGGTTTAGGGTTTAGGGTTCGGGGCCCAGGTGTAGGGGCTGAGGGTTTGGAGTTGAGGTCAGGCGACTGCACAAGTCCTGATGAACAATGGGTTAGGGCCTGATATTTGAGAGTTCACATGATTTCAGGGTTAAGTTTTTCTTTTCGTTCCAATGGTCGTGGGTCCGAAGAGGTTCTAGAACGAACGACCTTGCCATGAAATAGGTTTCATGTTAGGGTTTAGTGTGTCTACGTAGGGCTCCTCGGAACATGCAATAGGAGTTTCACTTGGGGGGGTACTTGTATTGAAAATTCCCTACAGATGACATTTCAGAGTTCGGGCCAACCTTTAGCAGCACACCATATCGTCGTCGACGCAACCCATGCGCAGGATTGATTTGTTTTAAGTTTAGGGCTCAAGGGGGCCATCACAACATTTTCACAACCGGTGAAAACGATTGGTTTGTTTGGGGCGCAGTAGTTCGCAAGTCCCAAGAGGTTCAATTGTTGCCAAACTATATCGTTACTTTAACTCCTTCAAATCGGTTCGTACGCTTGTCTGAGTTCTTCGTTGCTAAAATGTCTCCAACACGACAGACTGTTCATCCTACCTTCAACCTGCCCAATTCCCAAGCCACTCCCTGAAAGCCAGCAACTTAGGCAACTGGATTGGTGCTGCCAGCAAACTCATGAGCACCTTGGAAAACTCAATGTAGCAGGTGGCTACCCAGACCTTCCAAAATCGCCTGAAAGGAACATACCTTCAACCATTTTCGGGACCCTACTATATTTTCGAAGTATGTGTGTATAAAAATGCTCGAGCTTGCTTAACGACGGGATGGCGCGCTATGTCGGTGGCAAAGAAGCAGAAAAGCTATACGACTAGCAGTGGTTGACAACAGTTGTCAGCTCAATTGATGACAGTGGCTCGGGCTGTGGGTGCGCTTTGCTTGAGCAAAGTATGTCTGAAGACTCCTGAAGTGGGGAAGGTTTCGGACAGTCTAGTCCTTAAGAACCTAAAACCCACTTTTTTGTAGGTTCTCATCCTAAACCCTAATATGGGATATATAGGGACCCTACAAAAAGTAGGTTTTGGGTTCTTAAGGCTTAGCTTCAACCAATTCCACACAGCGCTGCTCCCCTGATGATGCTTCCATAGTTCTTTTGTATTAGCCGTATTGCTTCCTGATCTATAAAAGGCGGTATGACAAAGGCGCTGCTTCCCAATAAGGTTTTACTGGGAAGATGATTCCCTAAACCCTAAACCCTAAACCCTAAACCTATACTTGTCGAGTCGAGCCCCGGAAGTCCCAGCTCCGTTGTTGTATGGCCTTTCTACGGCCTCATTTCCTCATGGGTGGTTGTCAAAATTATGGTCCCTTTTTGGGTCCTTATTATAATACGGCACCTATTATTTAGGGTACCCCAAAAGGGACCATATTTTTGACAACTACCCTCATGGGTTCTCATTGCAAACCCCAATTGTCTAGAGTCGCACAGAGTTCATACGGACCCTGCGATGAGTAGGTAATGGCAGCTAAAGGCATTGTGCTGAATTGCAAGGCCCTCACGTCGATGCTCAAACGTGGCGGAATACAAGAGCCCAAAAAAGCAGTGCAGCGCCTTACGTGCCATCTCGAAACTGTTTCAGAGGGCTGAAGTGGCTTAAGGTGGCCAAGGTGAGGCCACAGGAGAGGGATACTTTGTCGCACGGAACCTCTGCAAACAGCACGATTCCCCATTCATGCTCCATCGAACAGCTCTGGAGGCAAGCGGCGCATACATAGAAGGAGGGGCAGCGGACTCTGGCAATACTTCGCCCAACATCAATGCTTGGAGATGATCGAGGGCCAGGCGCCTCTAAACGCTAATTCCCTGCAACCTGAGCCCCTTTCTGCTCCGATCTTATATAGGGGCCTTAACCTTATAGTTACCAATACTACTTCGGGGGGGTTCCTTATTATAACTATAGTATAATATACCCCAAAACCCTAATTATTCTAATTAAGAAAGGCCCCAACATTACTTTCAATGTTTAGGGCCAATGCTGCATAGCCAGAACGGGAGCCGCTGGAAGTCTTCGGGATGGTGCGCTTACATGACGCACAGTTTCGATGGCAGTGGGGAGAACAATATTCCGGTTCGCGTCTAGCACCCTGCAGAACAGCAGGGCATGATCGTTGATTGTGGGCTAGAGCCCTCCAGCCAGGGTGTAGTTGGAGTCACAGGTTGCCCTGACCCCGATTTGTTTACACTCTTGCATCCGAAACTGCAGAACTCCCAAACCCCAAGAGCCCTGAAGCCACGAAGGAGCTTTGTAGAGCCTTATGCAGGCCGTTTAGACACCAAGTAGAACCCTATACAAAGCAGCCTAGTTCGCCAAAAAACAACACCTACAGAAACTCATCGGACCCCTGCAATAAACCCTGAACCCCAAAACTCTTGCCCTAAACCCTATTCCTAAACCCACAGGACCCCAGCCCCAAAATTCCTTCGGTCCCTGGCTCGATGTTCGAGTCAGGAGCGGTTTGCTGCGACCAGCTACGACCGCCTGGTGCTAAGTAGGCGCCGGCCGGAGCCGCAGAAGACTATTAACAGTGAGGTACATAGTACTAAGAGTCAGTCTAAGGTTTAGGGTTGAGGTCAAGGCCCAACAATTTCGTAAAATTTCGAAATCGAGCCACTCGCCTTCTTCATTTCGGGGTTTGGCCGTGCAGCCTGTCGAGCGCGTTTGCGAGCCTTGGCAGTGCGTCGGCCTTAAACCTAGAAATCATTCCGGAACCCCCTTGAATTGCAGGATTGGGTGATTGTTTAAGATTTTAGGGTTCAGTTAAGCGTAGGAGAACTCCCCCCAATACTATGACCTTTAAATTTTTATAGGGTTTAGGGTAGTTGTCAACGTAGACATTGCGGCAGCCGCAGCAGCAGCAGCAGCCATAAGGATAAGACGAGCCCCAGGGCCGTGAATAGCCGTTATCACCCTGATAGGTTTGCTTCATAGGGCAGAAAACATCGGAACAGCCCTCGTTCAGTGCTGTTGCTCAAGACAACACGGCAGTGTAGATTAGCTTCATGAACACCAGTTTGAGGCTTCAGCAAGATGCTGCAAATCCGGATGCTCTCCGGAGAAGTAGTGGCAAGACGTACTGCGGAAGAGCTGGAGGAGCTTGGTGACGTGAGGAGCCTGAAACGACGTTTGAACCAGTTTCACGGTATGGCAACGCGGTTTAGACAAAGGTTCTTTCTGCACGGCGAGACTTGCTGCTGGAGGCCGGTGCCGCAGACGTCGCTGGGTGCACAGCGTTGATCCGTGCATCCCACGCGGGTCATGTCGAGATCGTCCGCTTGCTGCTGGAGGCAGGTGCCAAAAGGATGTGGCGGATATCTTTGGGCGCACAAAGTTGAACGTATATCGTCCACGTCATGTCCGCTGCCAAGAACAGAAAGATGCGGCGGATGGCTTTCATGCCGAGATCGTACGCTTTAGGGTTGAGGGTTTAGGGTTTGAAGGGTGTTTTGAAGAATCGGTGGTGTTTGGAAAGCCTCTGGTGCCTCAAGATACCCATACCCCTGTGGGTAAGCACTCGCGTCACGCAGGCTCGATTCCCCGGGGTGTTCTTCCGTGCGTCGCCCCTCAAATGCCAAATGCTTCCCCTCAGTTTATTAAATCTTTTTTTTTGAAGCGATTGAATCCAATCGAGGAACAATCGAATCCAAAAAGAAATTGGTACGCCGAGGTCCGGCACCTGAGATTTCGCCATGTCAACTTGTGCATTTGTGTTGCCTTTTCTTTTGCACGGCTGCCCGAGGGGCTCAACTTCTCAACCAATGATTTCTTAAGCTGTGCTGTCGCTGTACATCAATGTCAACCATTGGCTATATCGAAAGGTTCCATGCCGAGCATGCTCCATAGTGTTACCGTTTTTCTATAGCAACGACATAAGAACAGCAAGCACCATAGTACTAATCACCCTCATAATCGACACTAGTCAGAGGGTCCCGTCCATCTTATCGTAATCCGTTACTATGTGTTAATTATTGGCCTCACATGGCAAGACCAGAGTCCCAAAGGGCAGGGAAAATACTGCTTGTTGTGTAGCAGCGTAAGAACCGTTGATTCAAAGGGTCAGGGTACATGACAGTCGTGGCCAGACTCAGCGTAAGTACAGGTTTAACTACTTGTAAGCCTAAGTACAGCCAGGTACTGACAACCATACGCATTATTGCCCATGAACCTTGGACCTTGAAGCAGCGGCTTCTTTGCCAAACTCTACACCGCATAAGCCCTGAACCTTAAACCCTCAACCTTCAACCCTGAACCCTTAACCCAAGGGGCTTCGATGCAGGACCGATCTGAAGTGGATCTTTCCCCATCCGCCACCTCACGCCCTGGATCGGACCTTTCTCGGAAGTGGTTTTCTCGGTTTTATGGCTTTTGGTGCTTTGAGTTTGGGGGGGCGGGGGGGGGGGGGG